TTTCCCTGACTACCTGGCTCCGATTGCCTGCCTACCTGCACCGCTCGTCCACGAACGTGACACCAAAAGTACAATTTCCTCATTCTAAGCAACGTGAAAGCTTCAGTCGTGATGTTGCACAGAATGACAGCTACAATTATCCCCTGCTAGCAACTTCCGTAATTGGCCTCATTGAGTTGCATGGATCCAACTATGTAAGTTGCTAACACAGTTAGCACAGGTAGTGAGGGGGAGAGGGCAGGATGGCTGTATGGACAGAGGGTCTATGAGAGCTGGCCTATGGGCCACTTCTTGTTCAGAGGGGGTTGAGGTGAAGTCAACAGGTGTGGTGGCGTGATGGTCTGAGCTCAGTCTCATCAGAGTCGGGTTGACAGTTTCCCCCTGTGGAGAGAAGCAGCACAGGCCCAAAGGAGTGCAGGGTTGCAGAGTCCTGAGGGGCCAGTGACCATACATCCCTATAATATAATATAATATAATCACATGCTGATGCATTCTCTTCTTCATCAGTACGACCTGTGAATCATTTTCTGCCAATAAAATGGTTTCAAGGGAGCTGTTCTAGGTAGCTATATAGGTAGCTTTTTGTACTGGTCTTGTACAAAAGTGTTACTTGTAACCCATTAATAATACCTATAACGTGTTTTGTCCATTTTGAGGACATATTCACACTCTGCAATCATGTAGGATTCTCTAAAGACATAAAATAGCTCTACAACTTTCAGTGTATCCCTAGAAAATTAAAAGTGAAACTGAAACTGAAATATATAAAAACTAAATAGATATCTTTAAATATAGATAATCTTGAAAACATATGAAACTCGAAATAAAATGAAAATTTTAAATATTATAAAAAATTAAAACTATATCAATATTAGTCTGCAGCCATAATGTTTTTATTTGTCTTAGTTGAATGAACAAAGAGTGATGAACAATGGAAGGATATATTTAATAAAAATACCATGCATTTATTACATGATGATGACATCTCTGAGGATCATTGTTGACCAGGACTCTGGACTTCCGAGGTTCGGAATTCTCTCATTGGTTGTTCGGTATCGAGGATTACCTCTCCTTTTTTGCAGCATTGGTAAAGCCAGTGGATTCCAAGTACCAAACAGATTAAACCGAGCAGTATAAACCCCGCGACCTAAAAAATATGAGACAAGTATTCAGAAGTCAAAGCAAAAGAATATGTTGCATGATTGTTTATTTAATTGACAAAATAGTTGAACAATGTCTATCTAAGAGATATACTTATATTCAGTAATTATCCAGCAATGGACAACAGTAGTATATGATTCAG